GTCGGCAATAGTAGTATACAAAACGATGAAATATTCAAGCCCGAGCCGAAGCCATAAATTATCGAATTGACAGCGTGTTAACATAAGCAACACAGTCTATATATTTAATACTCGTATAGATAGCGCGATAATTATTATGTTTACATATCCGGTCGAATCCACTTTTAACAAGTCGCCGAACCATTATATAACCGGAGTAATGATTTCCATTTCAGGTCGCACACAGCGCACAGACAGAATATTCGGTTTTACTAATTTCCATTACGTGATCCGACAGTTGCGCCATTAATTCTATATTATATGGCCATAAATAAAGTGACCGCTGAAAAATTATACACATACACGCATCCAACACATAAAGAGTGAGAGAGGTATAGGTAATCTCATGCATAAGCGATCCAGGCCGATCTGAAAATCATGCCATTGTTAATTCGAAAATCCTGTGAATGGGAAATGTGTTAATTGAATAGATTACCAAAGTACACAAGGATTTATCTGAGATTTCTAATGCTTCGGATCTGCAGTGGACCAACTGCAACGCGAAACCAAATGCTGGTAATCGCTGAATGGCCAAGCAAACTTAACGTGTTTACCTTTGTGTTTGGAACACGGGCACGTTTCTGCCCTATACTACTCCACCTCTGCAGATGGGGTAGATCGTGGCCCACCTTTTCACTAACAATCCTGGTCCACCATACTGTATATTTCCATTTTCCCTAAACTAATTCCAAGCCTTATTTGTTCCGCACAGGTATCTTAACAAAGACAATAATCTCATTCTACAATCGAATACAATGTTCGCATTAATTCTGTAACTCAAATATATTTAATCTTGCTGAAATTGGAGCTTATTTAATATTTGTACTAATTTAAATCCGTCGACAAAACGACAAACAGTGTAGAAATATAAACAAACTAAATCCAAACTAATATCCAAAGTTTATTTTTGTACTACTAATTTTATGATTCAATTATTATATCATTCAATGACAACACAGCAATACCTCGCATCTAACTAAATTTCAATTGGGATAATAAGTTCCCAAAAATTTGCATACAAAATATTATTTTTTGCATAAATATTCTTTTCTTTTTAATTATATATCCTTTTGTGCGGCATATTTTTGATATGTACATATTTCCTTAGTCAGGTTTCAAATAGTCTGGGATATTGAAACCTATTGAATTTCTGTATAATGATTTTGGGTAGGTTTGGACACTTTGGCATCTCAATGGTAAATATATATTCTGTGATTGAATAAAAATAGAGAAAAAGTTATCGAAAAAAAGAGTGCATTACTTATTTTATTTTTTAATACATACAATTACGTCTTTTCATTTGACCTAAATTGACGTAATCCAATATAATTGTGTAAGAAATAATAACCAGTCAAAAGATATAATATCTAAAAATTTCAGTTAAAGATTCATAACAAAACGTGCGAAAAAAAAAAACTTCATTTTTGATAAGAATATATCAAACACTAATATCAAATAAAATTTTCAAAATAATTTATATTGGAACATTTGTAGTTGACATAATAAGAATAAACATACAAATAAACCAAAATCTAATTAAAATATATGCAGTTTTTCTGTTATTTTAAACAATAATTAATAAATTAGAGAATATTAGTTAAATATTCTCAAGATTGAACTCAGTTTCATTAAATTCGTAGTAGTACAAATACTATAAAAATCTGAATGTGCGCACTCTCTAATTTATGAGTTTTAAATTCATTATCTATATTTATACAATTTTAAAGTTCTTGTAATAAATGAAAATGTATCTTATTATTTATATATATTAAAATAGAGATATTTATTAAAATCATTTTTAGTTACATTAAATATTTTAATCTTTGTTAGATTTTATAATAGTGATATTCATTTATAAAATGGTAATTCATTGAAGTGGAAAAGTGATCATTAAATTTGTAATTTGATACAAGCAGAACACTTGAAACGATTTCTAAAAGCGTTTTTTACATGTTTAAAAAAAATATATATTGAAGGACCTTTTAATTTGTGGGACTCCATTAAATGTATTAAAACATTGAATGAAAACGAAAAGCAGGAAGGATTGAGCAAATTTCATCTTGAAAATGTATTTCCACTTTATTAAACCGACGAAATGAAATTATGGGGCGGAACATATTTGATACAAATTTCATTTTCAGGGATTTATTTATATATGATTGATCACAATTTTTATACAATTAGCCTATTATTTCAAGGATTTAATTTGATTTTATTTAATTATTTATTAATTTTTGTGTTATTACACAAAAAGTAAAAAACAAAAATAAATAAAATAAGTATTTATAAATTAAATTAGATCAACAAATTCCTTTATAAATAATTATTAAATAAAGGTTTAAACACCCGAATATAAACACAGCATAGTATAGCTTCAATTAACTCTGCTGATTCACAAATAAAATTTTAATTGATAATAAATTTAAAAAACAGTACAGAAACTTGAAGAGTTTGAGAGTCAAGTGTTTTATTGTGAGATTTATTTTGTATGTATTTAGTTCTTCGTTATTTCGGTTTATAACAGTCCGGAGTATTGGCGAAACCTATTATCCGGACAATGGGAGATACTACTGTATTGTATAACAATTGGAATTTCACTTCTTTGTTACAATTATTCGAAAAATTGTGTAATAAATAATATAAAACAATAAGGTTGGGCTAATTTTGTTAATATAACAAAATATAAATATATGTCAAAATTTGTTTGACTCAGTGAATTTCAAGAAACAGATTGAACTATTGGAATCTGTTTATGTTTCAACTGTTTAGAACAATTTTATATACGATAATTCTACAAAAGAAAAGTTTCTTGCAGACTCTAGTGCTTTTGTAAAATCATAGTGATAGAGAAAGAACAATCTCATAAACATAACTATATGTTATATATGGTGATAAAAAATACTATAGGTCGACTTTTTTCATCCACCCTATCTCACAAACTATTACATTGGGGTGCTGACAGTGACCTTAATCAAGTCCTCACAGTTCATAAAAGAAAAGTACAAAAAAAATCATATGCCTGACCAATCTTGGACTATTATTAATAAATATATCTAACGTTCCTTAGCTCGTGTAACCCTTAGAGCACGTTTCTTGTTTGTTTCAAAACATTATATTATATACATTTCAGTGGATTTTAGTGTACAAGCTAAGTAAACAGCTTTCATTTCAAATCCATATACTTCCAATAAAATAATTTTAATGTACATGCAATATTTACTTTACAAATTTTCGAATAATACTAATTTTACGTTCCACGTAGATTTTTTTTACGCGAATAGAAATCGCGTAAATAAAGTAAAGTAAGTACAACAAGAAAAATGATTGGCATTAACATTGTCTTGAAGATAACCTCAAATAAAAAAGAGTAAAGGCGTTTAATCACATGATTAGAGACCAATTGGCGTTGTTTTACTACTAGCAATTAATTATTAGTTTTTTGGTTATTCTCTTTTTAGTTCAAAATATTTTACTAGAATTTATTTGATTTTTAATCAACAAAAAAGCTGAATTTAATAAAAGAAAAATCGATTAAAATGTACGTAAACATTTTATGTTCATGTTTGCGGACACACACAATATCGAGTATATATGTACACGCGTGCACACGTGCACAATCATCCAGATTATTACTGAGATTATTCTGTTCCACTAAATGTGAACCTATTGAGATGAAATCCAGCGCGAGATATATTTTCCCAGGAATTGTATGGGATTGAATTTTGCGTACGGGTGGAGTGTTGTGCTCAGAGTCACGGAGTGATGCACTCACTTGATTAAAATCTTTATATTCCGTAAATAATGCATGAACATTTAAAAAAATGGTATTAAAAAACAATTGTCTAAAATGTAGGCACATGCAAATTGAAATGGCAAACGTTGTTTTCCTTTATTTTTTGTTCCCGACACGAAATTGTCGCGAATTTAAAGGAGTGGCAAATGGCCACTTAAACGTTTCCAAATGCGAAGGATAATTCGATTGAAATAGGTATTTAGGGAACAATCAAGAGGCCTTGCGGCAGAATGAAAACGTAGTTGAGGAGGAGACATCCTGTACTCTTGAGCAGCTTTCGTCCTGGCTCAGACTCAGTTCAATGCTTGTTTAATGTTTCCCCCAACTGACGTTCTATCCTTAAATCTTTTATTCAGCACGCAATTCCTACGTTCGGATTGTTTGCGAAAGGTTTGTATCTCTATTTAAGCCAGCTTTCCCCCCTTTTGTACGGAGGTGGAGACTTCTTTAGCTCGTCGACAGACTAACATATTAGATAAAACAACAACATTAAGCAAAGATTTCTGGTCGTTCCTTTCGAACCACTTACTTCCTCTTCTACCACTGCTCGACCCGAATCCACATTTCACTTCTCACATCTCAAATTCTCCAAACTCTACTTTATATTAATAATATCTCACAAACTCTTAGAATGTAATAAATTCTTGTTGGTTTATCCCGTACGCAACAACGGCGCTTTAAAAAACTGAGCGAATCGTTTTTTGTAGATAAATAACTAACTTATATCCATTATGTACTAATCTAATTTGGAACCCTTCTAGACGGCCATTAACTTAAGAAGCAACTGTAAGGCAAATGGAGGTTGAAACTCTAAAAAAACCAGCTTTATTACGAGATACATTGTAAAAGCCCAACAATCAATTTAAGTTCAGCATTTATATAGCATAAAAATGAAGTCATATTATTAAGGTAGAAAAGATCTTATTCATAAAAAAATCATTAAATAACAAAATATGACGAAATATGACGAAACGGGCCATTTTAAAAGCTTATTAAATAATTTATTTAAGAAATCAATTATAGAATTTTCAGAATTTATAAAACAAGACTTTAACAGATATACGTAACTATTACATGACTGTATAATAATGATGTCTGGTTATTACGGTATCTTTGGCGCAATACCATAAAATTGTAATATGTACTATTATTAAATGTGATTGCTTACCTTTTACTAGCATTCGAATATGGTCTTGATGATTCAGAAGCACAGCTGAAAATAAAGAAAAATAAAAATTTAAAACTTTAATTCCACTTATATCATCTCATATAATCGCAATTAAAAGAATGATGTCTTTTCAATTTAGTTCTCTCTAATGAAATAATGAAACTAAGTTGATGAAGTAAGTTAATTATTGATGATAACATAGTATAACTATTTATGCATTCTGTATGAACGCACGAAGAAAATCTTGCGATTGAGGGCAACATCTTTTTATTTCAATTTGCGCCACACTTACATCAAAAAAATAATACTATTACAAATTACTTGCGCCTAATGATAGATACGCCTAGGACCGTCGCTCACTCCGTTTCCCCCTTGCTATAGCTTTGTGTATGAATACTTAAGAGATCATATCTGTCGTCAATAAAGCTCGAATATAATGTTTTGAATAATAAAAGTATTATTGCTAGTTATGTCTAGCCATGGTAATTATTCTTGTAATTACACAATTCACTGTTTTTTTTTCTGCTTTATTTATTGGAAATTCTAATGATAATTACTGTCGTCATAATTTTTATCTATTTATTTATCGATTTTTTATGCATTTTATGCACGATAAGACATAAATGAGAACAAATTTTCATGCATACAATAAATATTCTAAGTTGATTTATCAACGTAAATCAAAGTGCATCTTGTCAAGAATTTGTCATTATTAGACTAAGATGTAACAAGTAGAACTTCATGAAAATACATTAGTTAGTAAGTATATTTAAAAAATAGTAATTGAATTGAAAAATTACAAAGATGCATACATTAATATCAATGAAATATAAGTGAATCTAAGAAGCTTGGAGTAAACACACTATATTATGCATAAGCAACTGTCGTGAATCATGAGATTTTCAGATTGTCCGCAAACAGTTTTAGCAAAACATTTATTACAATGGTGCGAAAAAAGAGAAAAAACATTGATTCAATTATATCGAAGCTTTGTGAAAAGTTGCTGCACAAAGGGTGATTTATGGCACGACGAAGCGCTTTGTGCATCATCATATGAAGACATTAACTGGCACGGGGCTCCATTTAGTTAGATTAATGTTGGCAGAGATTTGCTTAATGTACAGTGGAGGAGAAAAAAATAACGACAGAACGAAAATAAAGGCACGTGATAACGCTTAACTCTTCATTGTACCGAGATGATGGAAATCTTTATGGAAAATGTTTTTTATTCTCCTTCACACGTACACTCTCCTTCGATTCGGATTGAGTAAATATTTGGATGGAGGTGGTTTGTTTGGCTTACGGAGAATCCATATTATACTGGGCAAAGGAAAATGAGAAGAAAGGGGAAGGGGAGAGAAGGCCAGTTTGCCTAGACCATTACTTCCAATTTCTTGCAATCCGATTAATTAAACAATTCGCCCCGAGATAATCCTGTTGTGACCGGAAACGCGGCTGGCGCTAAATCGGTGACCGCCCTTAGTAGAATCCCAAGAGATACGCGGGATGGGGATGAGAGCCATTTATTAAAATAAACACGGGGAAATTATTAAGACCCATCCGGACGGACGATTTATTATTTTCAATTAAATCTTATTCAAACTAAAGGATTTATATCATTCCTTGAAAATACAAACTTTTTCGACATAAATTAAAAATAATATAAATACAAGACAGATTTCCAAAACTTTTCTAATAAATCAAATCTATCCAACATTTATATATATAAAAATATTATCTTCGATCAGTTTAATTAAGATCGAATTAATATTTAAGGTTCTTCTGACGTTGTTGTTAAGTTCTTGCGTGAGGATGTCAAACACTTCTTGCAACTTATATTTTATAATGTCCTCTTTTGAATAACTATACTATATCGAATTTGACCGCGTTAAAACGAACAATCGCTCAATTCTGTCGGATCGGGGGCGTCCATCCGGCAACCGGCGTCGCGACGCCTCTCCAAGCTCCATCTCGACGCAAGGGATCTTGGCTACATGAGCATTCCGAGATATTTTATTGCAGCCATAAATTCCCCCTTTCTCTATTAAAATAATTTATTTAGTTTAAATTATTCGAATTTGCGAGGAACGGCGTACGAACGCTGAAAGAAAAGTCGTGTAATTCATTCGTCGTCCGACCCTCCATCTCATCCAAGATGCTACTACATCTCAATCTCTTTTATCCATTTGCCGTTCCATTATACGCAAAAAAATATGATTACACAAGATGATCAATCCTTCGATTCTTCCAATTTTTCTTCAAGGCGCTTCCGATTGGATCATATTTTTATTTCATCTTGATTGCCTTTATTAAACTCTATGAGTTGATATAATCTCATCTTTACTTTTCAAGCAATTCAAAATTTAATTCGTAGCTCTTGCGGATTACTATTTTTTTTTTCAACTTTAATCAAATCAATTTAGGAATCTGGAATCTGATTCATAATATGTAGGAAATATCTTAACTCTGTTAAAAGAATGCACGCGTGGCTCTATTTATCAGAATAGTGCATTTTATATGCGTGCTGTAGAATTTAAGAAAGTATAATATTTTATAAACAATAAAGTATAGATATAAAAATTTATTATTTATTAATATTTATTGAAACAGTTGAACGTATACATTTAAAAAACGTACTTATATTGAACATATGTAATTGTATCTGTCAGTAAAATAAGTTATGTTATTTTTTAGTTATTACTTCCAAATTCAAGCATAATTTAGACAAAAGGCCAATGTGTCAATTTCCTAAAAAACTAATCTATTGTAAAATGTACAAATGTACATATAATACATGTGAAGTTAATACATGTTAATATACAGTGGAATCTCGCTTAACGAGCACTTAACATAACGAGCATTTTGCTTAATGAACAAAATAAATTGTAAGAAAAGTGACTCGCTTAACGAGCGATGTTTCGTATAACGAGTGTTGAAGACAAGGGAACTGCTCGATAAGCGAAGTTCCACCGTATATACAACATTTTGACAAACAATAAAAATATAACGACTATTATACATTTTGCAAGGATTTACATAATAACAATAAAATAACTTTCATTTCTTCATATTAAATATGTATTTTCTTTAAATGTATTTTCTGTTTTCATGAAACTCATTATAGATAAATTATTGTTGGACAAAGCATTTTAAGGCATTAATACAATATTTTATAATTTTATAAGTTGTATACAATTGCTCGTTTTATATGTAACGTGGTAAAATAGACAACGCTGCAACTACGCTCCACGGTGCAACTATGCTTCCAAAATTCGGGGAGACCGAATGTGTTGGTGCTCTAGGAGCTAAGGCCCACCGTTGGAGAAAAAGTGTACTGATCTGAGAAAGCAGTTATAAAAGTTCTTCCTCTCAATAAAAAGAAGTGGCGCACTGGACCTTCCCACGTCACAGACTCACACCCAAGACGGCTTTGAAGATTTGTATATTGTGTATTTTTGTATATGAAGCGCCATCGTGTTACATAAGTTTGATTGAAATTTCGTATAATTTAGTTTTCAATTAGTCCAGATTCACTATAGTCCGGTTAAAAAATTAAATTTTTATTCAGTATCGGTTTATTTTCCTGCGTATAGGAAAGTTTCTTTCCGTGCTGTTTATTTTTAATGCGTTTTTAAATACCTCGATTAGTCCGGTTTCAAACAAAGCAATTACCCACACTAACACTAGATTATGAATTTTTTTTTTTACATGTAATAACGATTGTTTAATCCAACTCTCGCAGTAAATAAACAAATTTGTATTATTTATAATTCATGATTGATTATCCATTACCATTGAATAATTGGATGAAAAGCAAAAACATATTAACACTGCCTGTGATTATATAAGCGTAACCAATGTTTGTATACAACTGATACGATCTACAAATTATACCTCTTTATACATTGATTACAGACGATTACATTATGATTGATTGTTGCCCAATTTCTAAACGCAATCTATTAAATTGGGATAATATTTTCGAAAACGCAAGGTTGTTAAGATAAAAAAAAAATCACGAAATCAGGGATCTTCGCTATAGAGAATAATATAGGAGTAATCGGATAAGGAATATCGTAGATTGGTTTTAAGGTTTCCTATAAGATTGAGAACGGGAATCATGGGGGACATAAAAGCATACGGTAAATCAATTTATTGCCTCGATCTATATCACATACACTTTTTATTACCCTTGTTCCATTTCATATACAACGTTTACTTTTTTATTTGCCGTGCCATTGCAAGTTTTCCTCTGCTATTAAATTATGTAAGCTAAGTGATTTTGTTATACTACCACACAAAATTATATAAAATTTAAACTTTAATTTTAAATTAAAAATTACTTTCTAAAGTATTCTATATTCATAATATGCGAGACATGAGACATGTGATACAAGGTTTTTTTTCTCGTAGGTTTAAGTTGGATGATTTATTATTTATTAGATTTCTAGATAATTGAACTTATGCACTTTTACCAGATTTTATTGTCATTTTTATTGGTTTATATTTTTGTTGAATATTTTAATATTCTTTAGTTGACCAAACATTTACTACATCTTACATATCTGACACTTCTATACTAGAACTATTCTCAATTAATACCCTTCTAATAATGTTTAATGCTTCTCCATGTTTAACTCTTCAAAGCTAAGCTTTTCTCGCCAACTTCATGGTGTACATTATTGTCACCTTTCACAACCACTATTGCGCTCAAACACAACCTATAAGTAACTTCTATGTAACTGCCATTACCTCTCTTTTGCTTACTATTTTTTTTTTAATTTTGGTTTATGAATGTCTATAAAACGTCTATGAACATATGTGTCATTTTTAGTAAATTGAATTAATGATAAAAAAAACTATTAATTTGGTAAGTAATTACCTTTTTTTATATAGCAAGTCCACAAAACAAATGAGAATAAGTAGTATGCCGTTCCAGAGCTCGTGAACAATAATGTGCTGTGTAAAATTCAGCATTTGCGTACAACAAATGTCGCCGAGTTCCAGATTTTCTGGGGCAAACAACAAGCAGCATAAAATATACA